GAAATCAGAACATTATCATGCCTCCAAAAGATTATTCAGATAGTAGGGTGAGAAAGCAAAAGACTGTAAAAGCAGTCAAAACTGGTCTGAGTGGACCTTTGATCTAGCCCAGTACAATTCTTCTCCCAAATACTCTCCCAACCTGCAACCATTTGCAGTTCAAGGCATTATATGAAGTATTATCTTTGTTGGCTGACTTTAAAGTGTTTATGATTTCTTAACATCCTATAATGTATAACGTCCATTTTGGCTGTAAGAATGGAATAGGAAATACCCTTTCACTTTCATGTGGTAAGAGATGTAAAAATGTAGAATAGAAATATTTATTGAAAATTACTGCTGTTTCTACAAACAGTAGAAATTTCGTTAGATCCTGTGTCCAGTACCCTGTGAACCATCTGGAAAGGTTGTATCACAGCTGTAGTATATGCTTTATCTTGAGGGCTGTGTAGGCCAGCTCCATGCTTCATCATGTGCCTCAGAGTTCATGAACTGACTGTGCTGGAATTTGGAGTTAAAAGACTAAAACTGTGTTCTGGGTCCAGAATTTTTAATTGACTGCGGTACAGCATGATTAATTTCCTCTGTGTAAGGAACTGAGGAATCTTTTCTTCTGCGTGGGACAGGATAAAAGCATTGGGGTATTTTGTTGGGTCCAAAGACTTGTATTCAGTGTGGGGAGGAAGTATTGCTGAGCTGTCTATTCTGCAAGCTGTCTGGCAACTCCTTGATGTTTCCAGGGCAGTGCTTGCTTTTCGTGCTTTGCTCTTAAAAATGTTCATGTTCTTCTATTATTCTGCTGATACTAAGACTTTGTGAAAGAATAAAAATACAGTGGTTCAGCTAAAGCGGAACGTTTTTTGGCTCCATGATTTCTGCTTCTCCACAGTGTCAGTCCTGCTGTAAATAGAGCAGGTGTTCTAGCATCTCAAAACAAAACACCAAATAAATAAGGTTGAAAGAGACATTTATTTGATAGTCTTGATCTGTCTAAATACAGAAGGGAGGAATTGTTCCTCTTCAGGCTGGAAAAGAAAAATACTAAGAAAGAGGTGACAAAAATCTGTAAAATGTATGAGCAGTATGGAGAAGGTGCATAGGGAATGCCTGCCCCCTGCTGCTTCAGCTATGCAATATGGCATCAAATGAAGCTAACAGGTGGCAGGTTCAAAATGAGCGAAAGGAGGTACTTCTTCACACACTGCCTTGATGAGGTTCTGGAACGCCATGCCTCAGGCTGTTGTAGGTTCCAAAGGGCAACAACTTTCAAATGCTGTCAGTCACAATACTAGGATTGTGTGTGTGACAACTGTCAGGATGACCTCGTGCACTTATGTCCTTGCAGAACATAGTGAAGAGGTGTATGCCTGGTGTCTCTCACGTAGGTGTTTGTGTCTTACGGGAAATTAAAATTGTAGATTTCTGATTCTAAAGCAAAGCAGTAAAGCTTTTCATTCCTATACAACAGAAGTATTCTAACAGTTAAGTATTTTAGTTATGTAGATGAAAGCTAGAATTAATATTGTAGAAATAGACAAGGCAGTCCAGTAGATTTATTATAATTACTTACAGTTCCTTGCTTTTATTGTGTGCCTGCATGAGTTACTCCCAAATAGGAACTGACTTTTTCATATAAGGGTATACTTGCCCATTTCTAAGCTCGGATCGTTAAGTCTTCCTCCTAAGCTACTTCTTATCCCCTCCTCTGCTAACTTCCCTGGAAAAGGGAAAATAAAAAGGGGATTTGTTAATAGAACTAATGTAGTTTAGCTAACGTATTAAAATCCCAATAAAAGTTGTAAGTTGTTCATGTTGAAACTTTGATGTGAAGGTCAGTTTCACTTCAGCCAAGAAGATGTTTTGACAAGGGTTGACTTCATAAATGTCAGTTTTTACTTACTATGGGTAACACTTGTTTTTAAAAAATCAGCATGAACATGTGCCCTTTATTTTTAGTCTAGAGAGAGACAATGCTTTTTTAGATTAAACAGGACAGATTTACCGTATTTTGCATTGCTGAGAGCAGTGGCTCCTAGGCTGCTTGTAGCTAAGCCTCAGTTGAAAAAAAAGCAGCCATGATTTAGGCCTTGTGGGTGCAGCTGGGGTCTTCCAGAGTTCATTAGCTTTAGTTCTGTGCTCCAGCTTTTCAGTCATAAGCTCGTACCATGCCATTGAGACCTGCCCCAATAACTGGGAACTACTATCTTCGGGATAACTGCTTCTGAGCACATCTGTCTAAGGGCTGGGAAGGTGTCAGTATTAATGCCCTGGAACATAGTAGCTTCTTGCTTCCAGTGCTTGGATATTCCTTGCTTCCTTCTCAGATCCGGGAGCTGGTTCCTGAGTCCCAGGCCTACATGGATCTGTTGGCCTTTGAACGCAAACTAGACCAGACCATTATGCGGAAGCGTGTGGATATTCAGGAGGCGCTGAAGAGGCCAATGAAGGTATGTAATGAACAATTTGTAGATTGAGTTGGGGGGAGGGGGGCGGGGAATAATCCTTGTATTAAATGGTGGAATGATCTTTCCAGTAAAAGTCCTGTTAACAGAGATATTTTGAAACAGGTCAGACAAAGCTCTTAAGATAAGCAGCTGAAGAGCAGCATGCATGGAAAAGTGGTGGAGAAAATTCTGTGGATATTACCAGCTCTAGCTTCTGAAAGCCTTTAATAAGGGGAATGATAGCTTCTGCATAAACAGACACTGGTTTTGGAACTTTGTATTAGAATGGTTAAAAAGAAGGAAATAAGACATTAGAGGGGTGTGCTGAAGAGATGTATTAAATTTCATATTAGAAGTCGGTCAAAAGCTGAACTTGTAGAATAACAGAACATATAATGGGAAGAATTACTTACAGAAAAATTGTTAAAGATCCTGCGAAAGTGTACACATTTACATAGTCTGTAAAAGGATGATTCATGTTAGAAAAGAATGGATGACATTTTCTGCAATTTCTATTAGGTCGAGTCCAGCACTTCACTGTTCATAACATCCTACTGCAATGGTCTTTTCTTAAGTTTTCTGAGTCTATTCATGGAAGGGTTTAGGTTAGGTTTAGGTTAAGTTCTTGTGACTGTGTTGAATGCTTGTACTCATTCATATAGTAAAGCCTGTAGTCTGAAGTATTTTGTAGCTGTGAGTCTACTGTGAAGTAAAGCTGTCATTCTCATCTGTGCCACAGTAATGGGTATCAGCCCAACTATGATTAAGATTCTATTCTGTTTATCACTGCACAGGTATCTGATAAGATGTTGAAGGCTTTTTACCTGTGATGGTTTTCCAGTTGATATATATGAAATAGAAAAAAAAATGCAAAAAATTAAGTTCCGTTAACATACCTATGTTATAGATAGGAAACCAAAGTGTGGATGGTTTAAATCACAAGTTTGTATCAAAAAGTGTTTTATATAGTACATTGGACTCTCAGAAGGAATAATTTGTCTTAGCTTTTTAATGTGGGTAGAACACCATTATTTTAAACCAGATAGGAACTTGGCCGTGTTTAAAAGTAATTGAAGACTTAGACTCCCATTCATAAATCTGCAGGAAGATGTTTATTCTGTGGCAAACTCTTTAACTAGGGAACTGACCAGTACCTGAGGTTCCAGCTCTAAGCTGTACTATGGAGATATTCAGGGCCCGTAATAGGGAAGAGTATAGGAAGCACAACACTGTAGACAGAAAATTCTCTTTCTGTCTGGGGCTCAGCAAACACACTTTAAATGTCAATTACTTAGCTAGTTAACATTTAAAGAATGATCAAACAGATGTTTTTTAAGTTCATGTCCAGACTTAGCATGTAGCAGCTGTGAAATTCAAGACCTGTCGAAATAGAGCTAAGCCTAGATAAATTTGGGTTGTTCTGATATTAAGTATTTTCATTTTATTATAGCCGGAGCATTGGTAACAACAATAAAAGTTATCTCTGCCTTTCCATCTCCTATCAAAGCTGCTGTAATTTTGAAATATTTGCCTTAAAATAGTCGTTCCCAAACTGGGATTGTAATCCTGGGAAAAATTTGTCTGAGGTATGTGATAATATGTAGAGAATATGCAGGACTGCTCAGAATTATCAGTTGTAATTGCAGTTATCATACTGGTCACAGTGACTGAATTGTAGCTAGAAACACAGGTTTGTGGTCTAGTGTTGCTCAGGCTGTTTTCTGTCTGAAGAATAGTTATTCTGGAGAAATTTTAGAGGGAAATGTTTCAAACAGTTTTGATTGAGGACAGTGCATAAAATATGCTGGGCCTATTGATCCTACTTGGATCTTCTGTCAACAGTTGCACTGTTGAAACGGATGACAGCTGTGGGATTGCTCAGAAAGCAAGGAGACCTTGGGGTTGTGAGATTGGTTGAAGGGGGAGTAAATGGCCCTCACCACCTGCCAGCTCACTTTACCACTGTCAGCAACCCCCCTCAGCTGCCAGCTTTTCCAGTGTAGATCCTGCCTTGTCTTTTTTCTGCCTGTTGGGTACTAGCGTGTTCTCTCCTCTTCTTCTGTCAGTCTTATGTTCTTGGACTGCATCTATCACAAGAGTCTCAGAATTCCTCGTCCGCAGAGCAGCATTTGCTGCATGCCATTTCTCGCAAGAATAATTGCACTGACTTTGTGGAAGACTCACCCTCTCACATGCCCAGCATTCCAGAAAGGACTTTTTAGGAGGGAGTCAGGCAGACAGGGCTGTTTGACTGCAGTGTGGCTAGAGGTGTAGATGTAGCAAGCTCCATGGCCTGAAGGGAACAGAAACCGTATAGCTCAACTCCAGACAAGTAGATGTTACTAAAGAAGAATGCGTTACTGAAAATCTGGACAGCTAGGGCCATGGTAGACTTTGGGAGTGGGATTTATTTGATTAAGTATGGACATCTACATTGTATTTATTTAAATGCAAGCTAGTCACTCCGGGCTTCCTTTATATTTGAGAGATTTGGTCAGTGTAGGCAGTGGAGTTCAGTGCACAGTTCTCATACAGATGTAGATATTTAAAATTTTGCTTATAGATAAATCGTGCCCTAAAATGCGCCTATTTCTTTCCATTGTCTAAGCCTGAGATAACTAGTCAGTTGTGGACGTAAACATAATTCTAAGACTGAGGAGATTTTCATCCCAAGGCTTGAATCAGGGGTCACCTGGATGAAAGAAGGGCATCTAGTGACGCATCGCACAAGCAAGAGTCCTACTCCAAGCCCTGGTGCCACAGACGGTAGTTTAGTCTCACCCAAACCAGTTATCCAGGGACTGTCACTCTTCCACAGTGAACTGGTGTGGGATATTGAGTTTACCAGACCTATGTGTAGTTGCAGTTCCTGAAACTAAACAATCTACTCCCAGGCTCTCCATTTTTAGGTTAAAAAAGAGTATAGCATCTGAGTACAGTCGCAATGTCTTTCTCCCTGGTTTTGTAAATTGAGATTCTTTTGCCACTTTCAGGTTTTCAGATGACTGAGGAATTGCTATCGGATTGTTGGCAGAAGGGAATTTGCATTTTTTCTGAAACACTAGGGTTTCTGCCTCGTCCTCTGCCCTCTCAGGCGAGACTGGGTTTTTTTTTGCTCAGCATGCGTTGTGTCCGCAGCACCTCATACCTGAGGTCTGCAGTTCTGTCATTCTAAGAGAGTCTCATCTTTTCTGTGCATTGAGTTCTAAACCTCGAGCATCTGAGGGAAGTTCTTAGGGGCAGAAGAGCAAGTAATTTGTGGAGATTTTTTTGTCATAGTCTGAACCCTATGTCATTGAGCTTCTGGAATCAAACCTGCACTTGCTTTAATCAACAAATACAGTAGGTTTCATTTACCTCAACTTGAGCGAAGAATTTTATTCATTCTTTATGGGATTTTATGGAGAAAGAGGTGGTGATTACGAAAGAAAATTTAAGGTAACCGAGAGCAGTGCAGCTCTATCACTTTTTAGCTGTTGTAGATTCTCCTCTGCACTTTGACATCTGCAGCACATGGGCAGCATACTTCCTTTTCTGTAGTTGTCATGTTGGTCTTGGTGCTGGCTGGGATTAATTGGAGGAATTTCTGCTATAAAATATATGCCATTTGATTTGAAACATAATTAAAGGTGAGGTTTGTTATTTTGATAATAACAATCTTATACTTAATAAGATGTGACTGAGAGAAAAAAATCTTAGGATAGGTCAGTAACTAGAATTCCCTGTAGCAACAGAAAAGTTCTAGTGTTGCTGCAGAACACCCTAGTGACATCTTATCTGATTGTTCAATCTGGAATACAGTATCATCAATGCTCAAAATGAACAGTTCAAACTGAATGATCATGGGAAAAAAGAGCTTCTGGAACAACCTAGGGAAAGGAATATTGACCTTATGAATGTCACTTGGCTTTTGTATGTGAACACAAAAAAAATTTGGAGCGACTGGGAGTGTCTGCCTTTTTGGTAGAGGGGAAGAGAAGTATCGACATTTGGGCTGAAGGACAATGCTGGCACAAGAACAAATGGGGAAAAGGTGAATAAATGTTAGGCTTGAAATTAGAAAGAAGTTGTAATTGTCAGTGAAGCAAAATTCCTCCAACTCAAGGAGGGAAAAAAAAGATTTCATTTTTGAAATTGCACCTTCATGGGTTCTGAAAAGCATTACGTGATACAGACCTGTGACCTGGACTTACTGTTGCTGCCAGCTCAGTGACCCTGGGACCCACTAATGTACGCCATCAAGCACTACGGTGGTTTTGATAAGGTATTTTAAAGGTCTTCAGGGGAAATGTCTGCACGAGCCATTTAAAGTAGAAATATGTTGAAGGCAAAACAGAATGTATGGCAATTTCAATTTAAACAAAAACAATTTATTGAGGGATTTTTTAATTAGGAATTTTCTCATCTTTAATAATCAACCATAGAATTTATAAAATAATAAAAAAAAAAGCCAAATAGCAGCTTACACTTTCCCTAGTGAGAGGAGATCAGTCCAGCAGCAGATACATTCTCCGATTAGTGTGTGGTTATACATTGGGAGAGTTGGGTCATGGCTTGTGATTGTCTTACCATCCTTAGTCTTAACATGTATATTGATCTGCAGTCACCCACCCTTTGAGAGTCACCTCAGAGTCAGTGGGCTTTAGACAAGGCAATCTCCTTTTGCACACCCCTGGCCTTGGCCCTAGGAAGTCCCAGGTTGTCTTCTGGGGGTTCTTACGCGTATTGTTATTGAGAAGACTGAGTTGCCAGTGGGACCACACCAACATGTTACTGCATTACGGGTTGGCTCATTGCCTGGATAGTTACTCACTGTCAGAGACTGTGCCCGCAGCCTTACCATACTGCACTGCTTTTAACTAGTTAGGACTGAACCAAGCCACTGGGCAAAAGCTTCCTCAGCCTTTACCCAACAACCAAAGTGTATGTGCATTCTTAACCCATCACAAACTAGCTTAAGTATTTGATGAGAACATGATTAAATCTTGCATAATCACCTTCCC